ATTTATTTACCTATTTTTGCTGCTATAAGCATTTTTGTACATGTTTTCTGGTGCACAAATGCAGAAACTTATCTAGTGTATTTACCCAATGTCAGAATTGTCATAGGATTTCTACTGCCCCTAAATTAATGCCAAACTCTTTTCCAACTGGTTGTGTCAGTGGTGTATAAAAGGTCCTGTTGCTTTTTGTTCCTATTAATATTTGCTCTTTATCAGACTTCTAAAATTTTTGCCATGGGTGTGTAATTTTTTTTATTGTGGTTTTAATTTTTCATTTACTTTATTACTAATAAAGTCTGGCATATTTTCATATGTTTATGGCTATTTAGATTTCCTCTTTTGTTAAGTATTTTTGCCTGTTTTTCTGTTGAGTTTTTTTATTGCTTTATAATTTTTAAAAAATATGGTTTGGATCCTTTGCCAGTTATATATGTTACAGACCTCTTCTCCTATTTTGTGAGTATGTCTTTTTACTTTAGTTATGGTATCTTGACACAGACTTAATTTTTTCATTTTGATGTGGTCGATTTTTTTCATTATTTCTTTTTTCGTTGTTTGTTTGTTTGTTTTTTTGAGATGGAGTCTCACTTTGTCACCCAGGCTGGAGTACCTTGGCAGGATCTTGGCTTTCTGCAACCTCCACCTCCCAGGTTCAAGCCATTCTTCTGCTTCAGCCTCCCGAGTAGCTGGGACTACAGGTGCTTGCCACCTCACCTGGCTAATTTTTGTATTTTTAGTGAAGATAAGGTTTCACCATATTGGCCAGGCTGGTCTTGAACTCCTGACCTTGCGATCTGCCTGTCTTGGCCTCCCAAAGTGCTGGGATTACAGGCGTGAGCCACCGCATCAGGCAGATTTTTTTCATTATTTCTTTTAGAACTTTTTGTGTTTTGTTTAGGAAAATTTTCCCTAACCAAAAGTTAAGACATTGTTCTATAGAAGGTAAAAAAGGTTTATAGTTTTTCCTTTCACATATACGTCTTTAAACCATTTGGAACTGATTTTTTTCCTTTGAGACAGGGTCTTGTTCTTTTGTCCAGGCTGAAGTGCAATGATGCAATCATGGCTCACTGCAGCCTCGACCTCCAGAGCTGAAATAATCCTCCTGAAGCCGGGCGCGGTGGCTCACGCCTGTAATCCCAACACTTTGGGAGGCCGAGGCGGGTGGATCACGAGGTCAAGAGATCGAGACCATCCTGGTCAACATGGTGAAACCCCGTCTCTACTAAAAATACAAAAAATTAGCTGGGCATGGTGGCGCGTTCCTGTAATCCTAGCTACTCAGGAGGGTGAGGCAGGAGAATTGCGTGAACCCAGGAGGCAGAGGTAAGCCGAGATAGCGCCATTGCACTCCAGCCTGGGTAACAAGAGCGAAACTCCGTCTCAAAAAAAAGATCCTCCCTCAGACTCCCAAGTAGCTGGGACCACAAGTGTGTGTCACCGTGCCCAGCTAATTTTTTTATTTTTGATTTTATTTGTAGAGATGGAGTCTCACCATGTTGCCCAGTCTGGTCTTGAACTCCTGAGCTCAAGCAGTCCTCCTGCCTCGCCTCCCAAAGTGTTAGAATTACAATCATAATCCACTGCACCTGGCCTGGAACTAATTAGATGGAATCTCGGCTCACTGCATCCTCTGCCTCCTGGGTTCAAGTGATTCTCCTGCCTCAGCCTTCTGAATAGCTGGGATTACAGGTGCCTGCCACCATGCCCAGATGATTTTTGTATTTTTAGTAGAGATGGGGTTTTGCCATGTTATCCAAGCTGGTTTTGAACTCCTGACCTCAGGTGATCCAACCACCTTTGCCTCCCAAAGTGCTGGGATTACAGGTGTAAGCCATGTGCCCGGCCTAGAACTGATTTTTTGAGTGTAGCATGAGATACAAAATAGGGACCTAACTTCGTTTTTTTTCTGCATGGATATCCAGTTGTTCTAGCTTCATATTTTGAAAAGACTATCCCTTTTCCACTGATTAAAAAAGCCACTTTTGGCCGGGCGCGGTGGCTCAAGCTTATAATCCCAGCACTTTGGGAGGCCGAGGCGGGTGGATCACGAGGTCGAGAGATCGAGACCATCCGGTCAACATGGTGAAACCCCGTCTCTACTAAAAATACAAAAAATTAGCTGGGCATGGTGCCACGTGCCTGTAATCCCAGCTACTCAGGAGGCTGAGGCAGGAGAATTGCCTGAACCCAGGAGGCGGAGGTTGCGGTGAGCTGAGATCGCGCCATTGCACTCCAGCCTGGGTAACAAGAACGAAACTCCGTCTCACAAAAAAAAAAAAAAAAAAAAAAAAAAGCCACTTTTATCATACATCAGAGATCTATGTATATATATATTGCTGGGTTTAATTTGGGCGATTTTCATTCTGTTCACCTATTTGTCCATCTCTGTGCTAGTACCACAGTATCTGCACTCTAGGTCTATGTTAGTCTTAAGATGAGGTGGGGAAAGTTTTCCTTCTTTTTTTTTTTTCAAGAATGTCTTGGTTTCTTATTATTTTGTATTTCTTTCTTTTTCTTTTTTCCTGAAGAGTTGGGTTTATTTCAATGGTAAATTTGAAACCCTTGCCTTAAGCAAGAGTTGCTATAGTAATTATGTCAGGAATAGGCAATTTCCTACACTGTCAAATATATAAAAGTTCCTTTTGTGCTTTCTTCAACACTGATCAACAAGCAGAGTCAGTCCACATTTGCTTTGATCTAGCTACTGAGTTAACCTGAGTTGCTTCTTCAGAGATTCTGGCATCTTGGGTGGGGGAGGGCAAGGGAGCCTGAAATAGACCTTCACAGAATCATACATAAACTACTGTAGTGCAGTCAGAGTACCAGTCATAATGATACAAGCAAACAGTCCCTTCCATACACCTTTAAATCCAAGTCTCTGGAGGACCTGAGAAGTTCTGCTACCTGTTTCTTTATTCAACACAGATACCACAGAATCAGCAGGGTGAGAAGCAATTGCACAAAACACTCCAGGTATATAACCTACTATAAATGTTACAACCAGCTCCTCTGCCTTTGAACATTCACTGTGGGGGCTTAGGAACCACAAACTTGTATGATGCTTCAACAGTACCTTCAAAGCAGACAAACTTCATCATGGTGTATGCTGCCTCATCCAGAGAGGAGCAATCCCTTTGTAGAATGCTGTTAGGCCTTCTTCCTTATACATTTTGGGAGCTGCATCCCTCAAAGTGTTGGTGTAACCTGGTTGGGTTTGAATTTGAACCTCAGCAGCTTCCATAAGGCAATTACAGCAAAGAATTTAGCACTGGCAGAGGCAGCCAAATATAGTGATATGCGCCAGAGATAACATGTTCTGGGAGCATATTGCTATACAAGACTTTAAAAACTTCATTAAAGCCAAACTTGCAGAGTCCAGCATGGAGTGGCTAATGAAAGTCAGAGCCCAACCTTTAGCCAAACAGCGAATACCATCATCCTTAGTGCAACTGAGAATCCATTAAATATGCCCTTATACTTTTGGGGGTCTGCCTGCATATGGCATTTCTCTAAACCCCAGGGGAATGATGGCAGTGTGTGTCAGAGTACAACCTAAGACCTCACCAGAGCCACACAGTGCATAATACTTCGTGGAGCCAAATTCACAACTATACTTTTCCAAGGCAGCAGCTGCCAGGTTAAGAGAACAGTGGGGCGGGCCTGTGGGTCTTGTGGGGCTGTATGGAGGTCGGTGAGGCCATCATCCACCAGCTGCAGGTGTGGTGCATTGAAGGAGTTCACCCATGCCAGGTGTGCCATGGATGAGAACTTCTCCCTAAGATGCTGAACACCCAGCCACTCCCTTGGAAAGTTTGTGGCTCATAGGGTGATATTTTGTATTTATACATTGGATTTAGAGTCAGTTTGTCAAGTTCCACAGGAAAATAGGTTGAGATTTAATTGAGATTGCATTTAATCCATAGACCAATTTAGGCAGAATTGACATTTTTATAGTATTGCATCTTACAATCTATGAGCATATGACGTATTTCTTCACTTTAGATCTTCTTTAGGAGTCCCTCAATAAATGTTTTATGATTTTCTTCATAGAAGGACCAAAACTATTTTTAGATAAGTGGAAATGGGGATGCCAAGAGGAAGATAAAAAGGAGACAAATTTCACCCGGTGTGGCCAGAAGTTGAAAGGCGACATATACAGTTCATTCTGACATTTTTCAGTATTACTGACTTTTTACTCTGACTTTTTATTATTTGTTTACTTTTTATTACTTGTATACGTTTGCATTATCTTTAAGTCCTCAGCCACATCCCTAAACACTTAGCAGATTACTTCATTTCTTATTTTAGAAGCTGTTGCCTGAGCAGCTAAAGCACTCTTTTTTTTTTTTTTGAGACCAAGTTTCACTCTTGTTATCCAGGCTGGAGTGCAATGGCGCAATCTTGGCTCACCACAACCTCCGTCTCCTGGGTTCAGGCAATTCTACTGCCTCAGCCTCCTGAGTAGCTGGGATTACAAGCACGCACCACCATGCCTAGCTAATGTTTTATATTTTTAGTAGAGACGGGGTTTCACCCTGTTGACCAGGATGGTCTAGATCTCTTGACCTCGTGATCCACCCGCCTCGGCCTCCCAAAGTGCTGGGATTACAGGCTTGAACCACCGCACCCGGCCCTAAAGCACTCTTAATTGTCTCCTTGTGGTGCATCTCCACTGCAAAATTTCTCCCATCTTTGTACTTTTTTTTTTTTAACACTATACCTGAGATAGGAGTGTCCTTATGAGTAAGAAGGTCCAATGCTAATCTATCCATGAGTACTCTGATTCCAGGACGGTTGGGATAACTGTTGTTAAAGTGGTTACAGATTCCTTCCTATCTGTAGTCTTCCTTTGCATTTCCCATAATCAACTAATGGCAGAGGCCCCAGAAAAGTGATGCCCAGTTTTATAGTAAAAACATAACATGTAAGAATTATTACATTGTTAACATTCTTCTACCTACATCACCTATGAAATGAGGATTTTGTTACTTTTACAGATAAGAGCACTTTTTTGTCTGAGCTTCTGGGACCTGCTTCTGGGACTTTGCTGGCTCACAGAGACACTTCTCTATGGAGCTTCAGTAGCAAATAAGGACATCATCTGCTATAACCTACAGGCAGTTGGACAGGTGAGTGCTACTAGACTGTCACTGCACCTTGCAAGAAAGGCATACTCAGATCTAAATAGAAACAAAGATGATTCAGCTTGGGAAGTGGAGACTCATTTGTTTATTGTTATGTTTTGAAACAATAGCTTTTGTCTTTTTTCAATATTAAAAAAATGCTATTTATTATAGAAATTTTTGAAAATTCAGAGAAGCAGAAAGTTAGATAATGTCATCATTCTTTAATATTTTGTTCAAATTACATATCCTTCCAATCTTTTCATAATGAGTATGTATGTTTTTAAAGCAAATCAAATAATACATTAATACTTTCTTTTTTTTTTTTTTTTTTGAGACAGTCTCGCTCTGTTGCCAGGCTGGAGTGCAGTGGTGCCATCTTGGCTCACTGCAGCCTCCACCTCTGGGATTAAAGTGATTCTCCTGCCTCAGCCTCCTGAGTAGCTGGGACTACAGGTGCACGCTTGCCACCATGCCCAGCTAATTTTTGTATTTTTAGTAGAGATGAGGTTTCACCATGTTGGCCAGGATGGTCTTGATCTCTTGACCTTGTGATCTGCCTGTTTCAGCCTTCCAAAGTGCTGTGATTACAGACATAAGCCACCTCTCCTGGCCAATGAATACTTTTTATAACCTGTTTTTGTTATTCAACATACTGTGATTATGTTTCCAGGTAATGAAATACTTTTCCATAATATCATTTGAAATGATTGCATGGTTTTGTGTTACAGGAATAAAATAAACATTTGATTTTGAAAATACTGCAAATAATCACATATGAGTTGTATATCTTTCATGAATTTTACCAATGGATTAATCTATATAATACCATTAGTATATAACACTGCTTCTATGTTTCTGAGACATGCAGTGTGAAAAAAGTAAAGATTAAAATACAGTCTGTTCTTACTGCTAGATATTTCCTTTATTAGAGGGGAGATTCCTTTCAATTTAATAAGAAATTAATAATATGTAATTGGTGGCATAAAATCTGTGCACTAATATGTTACCTATATCATATGAGTTTAAAATGTTTTAGAGTCATACTTTGCTCCGTCCTGCTAACAATCTCATGAATTAAATAGAATTAAGGCTGTATTATTTACTCAGATAATTATAGTTTTTGATCAGAAAAGTCTGTATTAGAATCCTGGACCTGATTAACTTTGTAATGTTTGACCAGCACCTAATCTTTCTGATCCTCAGTCTCCTAATCTGTAAAATGGTCATTAATAATATTTATTTTGTGTTTGGTACAGATGTGGTTACTGTTACTTTGTTTTTTTACAACTTTATTGAGCTATATCTGTAGTAAACTATACATATTTATGGTGTACAATCAGTTTTTACATATGTATTTTCCTGTGAAACCATCACCACAATCAAGATAACAAACATTCCTGTTTCCATCACCCTCCAAATCATTTCAGATCTGTTTTCCTTACTGTCATTGAGCTATGTATTATAAGAGCTGCTTTTAAAAATAGTTGTTGGATATTTCCAATGTCTGGCTCATTCCTAGGCTGGCATCTGTCTGTTGATTATCTTTTCCCATGAGAATGGGTCACATTTTCCTGTTCTTTGTATGTCAGGTAATTTAGGATTCCATCTTAGATATCATGAATACTATGTTGCGTAGACTCTGGGTTCTTTTATAATTCTCTAGAGATCGCTAATTCTTTTATTTAGCAATCAACCTGATTAGGTTTGGAATGTAAATATGGTCTCATCATCTGTGGACAATGGTTCAAATCTCAGTTTAGTTCTATAAGCCTTGGCTATGTTGGTTTGAGACTGTCATGCACATGCGTAGTAGACAGGTTAGGCTGAGACTTGTTTGGATTAATACACAGAATTAGAGCATCCCCTTTCCTGGCTGTCTTTCTTCTGGGATTCCCTCCATACTTTCCTGTCTAAAGGGGGTCCTTTTCTGGTCTCTGTTGCCTAAGATAGATTTCTATTAGAATTGTAGTTACCTTCATTGAGCAGCATCATGACTGAGGTACATGCTTGAGCAAAACTAAGAGAAAAGGGAGGGAAAAGTTTGAAAAACTCATTTCTTCTGTTCAGTTTACTTCTCCAAGTTTGACTTCTTTCCACAATATACCTGTTTCTGTTTACTTTTCAGAGTCTTCAAGTTTTTGTTTTTTATATTTTTCCTAGGATTCTTACTTGTAATCAGGGATTAACTGGAGAGGGCTTAAACATATTTATTTTGTTTGTTTTATTTTTTAAGATTGTGGTAAAATATACGTAACATAAAATTTATCATTTTAAAAATTTTAAGTATGGTAAAAATGTAACATAAAATTTATAATCTTACTTTAAGTATACACTTCAGTGACATTAAACATTCACCTTGTTATCCAGCTGTAACCACACAGTCCATCTCCAGAGCTTTTTCATTTCGAACTGAAACTGTGTACCATTAAACAATAACTCCCCATTTCTCCCTAGTACCAGATCCTGGTAACCACTCTTCTACTTCTCTATGAATTCGACTACTCATATCAGTGAAATCATATAATATTTGTCCTTTTGTGTCTGGCTTATTTCACTTACATGTCTTCAAAGTTTATCTTGTAGCATGTGTCAGAATTCCTTTTTAAGGCTGAGTAATATCCCATTGTATGGATAGAACACATTTGGTTTATCCGTTTATCTTTCAGTAGATACTTGGGTTGCTTCCACCTTTTGGATGTTGTGAATAATTCTCCTATGAACATTGATGTACAAATACATTTGAGTCCCTACTTTCTCAGTTCTTTTGTGCATATACTCAGGAGTAGAATTACTGGATCAGATGGAAATTCTGTGTTTGATTTTTTGAGGAAACACCATGTTTTCCATAACAGCAGTGTAGAGAGCTACAGTTTCCACATCCACGCCAACATTTGTTGCTTTTTTTTTTTTTAAGTAATAGCCATCCTAATGGGTGTAAAGTGGTTTCTTGTTGTGGTTTTGATTTGCATTTCTCTAATCATAAGTAATGTTGGGTATCTTTTCATGTGCTTATTGACCTTTTTTTTTTTTTTCGAGACGGAGTTTCACTCTTGTTACCCAGGCTGGAGTGCAATGGTGCGATCTCAGCTCACCGCAACCTCCGCCTCCTGGGTTCAGGCAATTCTCCTGCCTCAGCCTCCTGAGTAGCTGGGATTACAGGCACGCACCACCATGCCCAGCTAATTTTTTGTATTTTTAGTAGAGACGGGGTTTCACCACGTTGACCAGGATGGTCTTGATCTCTTGACCTCGCGATCCACCCGCCTCGGCCTCCCAAAGTGCTGGGATTACAGGCTTGAGCCACCGTGCCCGGCCTGACCATTTTTATATCATCTTTGAAGAACTGTCTCTTCAGGTCCTTTCCCTCTTTTTAATTTTTTTTGAGAGGAGGCAACATCTCACTTTCTCACCCAGGCTGGAGTGCAGTGGCACTATCTTGGCTCACTGCAGCTTCTGCCTCCCAGGTTCAAGTGATTCTCCTGCCTCAGACTCCCGAGTAGCTGGGATTACAGGCATGCGCCAGGACACCTGGCTAATTGTTGTATTTTTAATAGAGACAATGTTTCACGATGTTGACTAGGCTGGTCTCCAACTCCTGACTTCAAGCAATCCACCCACCTTGGCCTCCCAAAATGCTGGGATTACAGGTGTGAGCATGGTGCCCAGCCCCTCCCCATTTTTTAATCAGATTATTTACTTTTTTGTTATTGAGCTGTAAGAGTTCTTTGTAAACTCTTTACATTAACCACATATTAGACATACAATTTGCAAATATTGTCTCCAGTCTGTAGGCTGCCTTTTCACTCTGTTACTTGTGTACTCTGATGCACAGAAGTTTTATAAATTTTGATGCAGTTCATGTTTTCTTTTGTTGCCTGTGTTTTTGATGTCTTAATCAAGAAATCACTGCCAAATACAATATCATGAAGCTTTTACACTATATTCTCTTTTAAGAGTTTTATACTTTTAGTCTTACATTTAAGTCTTTGATCTATTTGAAGATTTTTGTATGTGGTGTAAAGTAAGGGTCCAACTTTATTTTTATGCCTGTGGAATATTCAGTTTTACTGGTACCATTTATTTATTTGAGACAGTCTTGCTCTGTTACCCAGGCTGGAATGCAGTGACATGATCATGGCTAACTGTGGCTTCAACCTTCTGGGCTCAACTGATCCTCCCACTTTAGCCTCCCAAGTAGCTGGGACTACAGGTGCATGTCATCATACCTGGCTAATTTTTGTATTTTTGGTAGAGATGGGGCCTCCCTATGTTGCTCACACTAGTCTCGAACTCCTAGGCTCAAGCAGTCTTCCCACCTTGACCTTCCACAGTACTGGGATTACGGGCATGAGCCACCATGCCTGGCCCTATTTGCTGAAAATAATGTTCTTTCCCTTCCCCATTGAATGATCTTGGCACCCTTGTCAAAATCATTTGATTGGCCGGGCGTGGTGGCTCATGCCTGTAATCCCAGCACTTTGGAAGGCCGAGGCAGGTGGATCACGAGGTCAAGAGATCGAGACCATCCTGGTCAACATGGTGAAACCCCATCTCTACTAAAAGTACAAAAAATTAGCTGGGCATGGTGGCACGTGCCTGTAATCCCAGCTACTCAGGAGGCTGAGGCAGGAGAATTGCCTGAACCCAGGAGGCAGAGGTTGTGGTGAGCCGAGATCGCGCCATTGCACTCCAGCCTGGGTAACAAGAATGAAACTCTGTCTCAAACAAAAACAAAAAAAACCTAAATCATTTGATTATATATGTAGGATTTATTTCTGGGCTTTTAAGTCCTATCCATTAGGTCTTTATGAAACTGAAAAGTGTGAGTCCTCCAACTTTTTGTTCTTTTTTCTTTATGAGACAGGCTGGAACGCAGTGGCATGATCTTGGCTCACTGCAGCCTCAACCTTCTGGGCTCAAGTGAGCCTCCTGCCTCAGACTCCTGAGTAGCTAGGACCACAGGTGCATGCCACCACACCTGGCTAATTTTTAATTTTTAATTT